CGGGACAGCTGTTGGCTGTATGGTGGGTGACGCAACTTTCAAGAGTGGCCAAAGCCCATGCCTACTCCCACTTCCTACCACCCACCCTCCTGTTCCTTCTCTTCCCATTGAGAAGGAATTGCTCTGAGCCCTGCACCCTCGTGTGTGAGAACTGACATTGGGCCGTGCCACTGAAACTCCCCAGTGTAACCTGAGTGCAAATGCGCCAGTTCCAAGAGCATGACCCTTCTCCACACTCTCGTTCTCCTTGGCCGACTGAGCCCAATGATTCCAAGGAGGTTCCTGGTGGAGCAGCCTGGGCCTGAGTCGCCTCTGCCAGGAGAGCCCAGCTGCTCTGCCAGCACTGGTCTCAGCATGAGCTGGACAGAGACCTCTGTCCTGTCACACTGAGGCTCCAGAGCTTGTCCACTGACCCAGCAAAGCTGGGCATTCATGCCACACTCCCACCATCACAGGAACCCCACCATGACACCCAGCTGGTTAACAGGAAAGTGGGGACAGTGAGCCTGCACATGTAAAATCCCTCCTGTGTTTAGAGGTTTGTTCTCAGGGGTCCTGTTCAATGTCTCCTACATCTTACTCTTTAAAACAAAATACACCTGCCCATTGGCACCCAGGTCCTTCCAGGGACTCATGCTCTTTCGACATCAAGGGCAATGCTTCTCAAAGGTCAGGATCAGGTGAGCACCAAGTTTATTTAAATCTTAAGTTTCGCTGGCAGGAGTATATAATTATACCCTGGCTGCAAACGAGGCTAAGATGAAAGGGAGCTCTGGATGGGAGTGGGCAGTGAAGCTTGCGTTGGGAGGTGTGCTGGCTTCCTGTGGCTGCCATAACAAATTACCACAAACAGGGTGGCTTAAAACATGGGAATTCGTTCTCCCACCGTGCTGGAGGCCAAAAGTGTGAATTCGAGATGTTGTGAGATTGGTTCCTCTGGAGCTCTGAGAGAGGATCTTCTCCCTGCCTCTCCCAGCTTCTGGGGGCTGCTGGCAACTCTTGGTGTCCTTGGCTTGTGGGCGCATCACTCCCACCTGTGCCCTGTCTTCCCCTGGCCTTCTCCGTGTGCCTTCTCCCCTCCCTTCCCTTCTAAGGACGCTTGTCCTGGCATTTAGAGCCCACCCTGATCAGAATGATCTCATCCAAGACCCTTAATCACAACAAAGACCCTTTTCCCAAATAAGGTCACATTCACAGGCCTGGGAGAGGGGGGATATATCTTTCAGGGGACCACCACCCAATCCAGTACAGGAGCCACAGAGAAGCAACATGCTCCCAAAGGGACTGTTGAACTATTGACTGACCTCTGAGCTTCATAGGCTGGGGACACCATGTGGCCCATGTGTGTTCTGTATGAGTGTCTCCCATCCTGTGACCCTCATGTGGTTCAGCCAGTAACCCCCACCTGGCAGTGTCTGGCAGGGCATCACACACCCCCCCCCCCCCGATGTGTGCTCTGCCTGGGGAACAGCACACTGCTGGAATGGAATAGAAGACTTCTTTAATCTGTGTGCTCATTTGGGTTTTCAGGAACCCAACACAGAGCACCCCCATTTGAAGAGAACATTGCCCCGAGTAGAGGGAAACAGGCAGGCTGCCCGAACCCTCCGGGTGTCAGACACGTGGCCCACCTGAGACTTTTGTCAAGAAGCTTTATTCCCAAAGTAGCTGAGCCCCCAGGACAGGAGGTGGGCGGGACCCACACTCTATGCCTTGGTGTGCCGGCTCCAGTCCTGCTCACTTACTCATTGAAATCAGAGCGGAATGGACTTTATTATATTATTGGGAGTTTCTCAAATGGAATCCACTTAAGTGTCATTACGAGGTGAGGCATTAGGGGAGCGTCCTGACAGAAGGAGCGTGTGTGTGAAGAAGGTGCCGTGTGATCGTGACTGAATTTGGTTCTTCTGTCATATTCGAATGTTGAGCATGGACCCTGCAGGCCACCCTCTTAACCAACGACCACCGGGTCCGTGAGGCTGAGGATTTGGGGCCCTGGGAGCCTCCAGTAGGAGAACCCGGATACCCTGTCCCGCACTCAGGACCTGATGCCCAGGGCTGCTGGTGGTGGTATTTTTTACAGAAAAGGTGAAGATGGTTTATTTTCTTTCTGTAATTGAGAGCACCAGAAAGATTTTGTGTGAGGGCCAGCTTTCAAAAGGACTGATCTTCCTTTCATTTGAACTTGTTCTTTTCAGGAACTCACCATGATCCGTGGCCTCTGTTACTACAAAATCAGCTTCTCAGTCTCTCCCATCCTGGTCACACGTGCTCACCGAGGTGAAAAGGGATGCCCTTCAGAGTTTAAGACTCCTTAAGAGAAGGGTTCCTCTGGCTCCTGGTACACCCAATGAAAACAACAAAAATGTTAGAAGTGCTCGGCTGAGACTCAGGCCCCAGATTACCTAGGAGGCACAGGTCGCCCATACCTGGCCACACTTGGCCTTGTTTGGTCCAATTCCCTGTGCGTGTCAATGCACCAGTACGCCAGGATAGATTCCTCCCCACCAAGCACCCAGCAGCCTGGTGAAGCTCAGACCATCAGGTGCTGTGTGGACTCCACCCCAGGTTTCCTCCTCAAACCTATAATATTGTGAAACCCAAACCAAAAGGAGACCTAAAAGATGGGACATTTTCCTCCAGACTCATGACTTCATTGTTCGTCCTGAAGTCGCCTGGATTTATATCCTACAAGGGACACTGGTTTTCACAGGCTGGGTCACTATGACCCTCACAGCAACCACTTTCCTGTGAGCTGGTTATCTCAGGGGAGGGGTGTGCCAAGGTCCCTGGACCGAGAGGTCTCGTCCTGAGCTGAGTTGTTCAGAGCTTGCATTCTGCTGTCCCGTACACAAATAAACATTCAAAATGGACTCGTTCACGTGTGGATGATCGTAAGTTGGGTATTAGAGGATGGCGCACATCTTAGGATGAAGGTGGACTGGAGTAGCCCCAGGAACCCTCCATCTCCACGGTTCTGTGCTCTTGTGTAGTCATGGAGACTCACCTGCCAGACTCTCCAACTTGTGCCGAGTCTGTCCACATGACCTTGGATTCTAACTGACCTCTACGGCAACCCTGCTTACCTTCAGGTTTTGAAATAAAAGGAGCGTGCCCTCTGATGTTGTGACCCCTGTCACTTCTATCATCAAGGGTAGCACAGCATTCCTCAACCTTTAAACCATCAGTTATGTGTCCTGCTTCCAGACTAGAATGCAATCAATACTTACTTCTTCGGGCAAGTGTCTACCCGCAGCTTGCTGAGCCGAGCAAGTAAAATATTTATGAGCCGACCGACCGGTTTTAACTGTTCCCTATCATTACTTTACTACAGCCAACCTTCAGAGCCTCACGTCTGCAACTAATCTGTTTTGAGCACAACTTGCAGACTCTATGTTCTAGTAAGTCTGAGGACACTTAGAATCTAGGAGTCAAAAATTCACATTAAAAGATGCATATTCTCTCCCAAGTCATTGTGAACTGTCTCAGGTAAATGCCATGTTTAAGCTGAGTTTCTTCAACATCTACTTTGGGCACAGGAATCGGCTCCAGGGCTGAGGCGGTCTTTCCTGAAGCCACGCCTTTGTAGGCGAGGAGCCAAGGCAGAGAGCCTCAGTGCAGCCCCCTCCGGGAGCCCACTGGGTGCCGGACCACCTCTCACCAGATTCTCTGCCTGTGCCTCTCTTCCCTCTAGTCTGTGGCCCCTCAGTGACAGTCTCTTTTGTCTTTGTATCCTCCATGCTTTCCTCACAGCTTGGCAAAGAGTTTGCCCTGAATGCATTTCACTGCACTCAGATGAAGTTCAGAATCATGAAAGGGTATTAGCGACTATGTCCCCCAAAGAGCTTCATCATCAACCCCTGGTCTGCACATTCCCTACAGCACCACTAGTTTCTATGCGCACTTGACTTTGTCTCATTCCGCTAACCACAGAGACCATCGCTTGGAGTCAGAACCTGTGGCCCTGTGCCCGTCTCTCCTGCAGCGGCTGGGGGTCAGGGGTTGCCGCTGTGCCTCACGGTGACCTAGTGCAGGACGTGCATTCATTTTCAGTGTTGGCCTCCAAACAGCTGTGCTGGCGGTGGAGCGAATCCATAGGAGGGAGGGGTGAGAGGAAGCAGAACCAAACCTCCCACCACACAAGGGCAGGAAGCCAGGGGACCAACGGGGCCATGGGCAGAGTTGGGGTTCCCTCAGCTCCTGGGGAGCACAGACATCAAGAGTGGTTATTTCCCGCAGGAGGACATGCCACCCATTCCTGCAGCCAGACTAGTGCACTCAGATCAGTCTTATGCCGGCAACAGCTGGGAACTGGGGCCTGACTTCAGATCATGGTCTCTGGTCCGCTTTGCATGGAATAAAGAGGCACTTTATGCAAGTTGGGTAGCTGCAAACATGGAAATGTTGGTGTGGAGTTGCTCCATCTCCATGTCCCTAAACTTTCCTGCTTAAAGGGACATCCAAATGCTTCTGAAACCTGCAGATTGACAGGTCCTGCAGTTGGTCTGGGCTGGAGCAGTTTTAAGGTTTGCTTTTCACAGGGTTCCCTGTGAGGCTCATCAGGGGTTTTTGGAAGATACCACTCTGGTCCTCAAGGAAGCTACGGCCCCGTCATGCTCAGTTTCCCTCGTGACTGCAGTGGGAACACCCAGGACTAGGGTGGGTCCTCGTCGATGGGGCAGAAAGGGAAGGGTGTCCTGGACTCTGGCCAGCCTTGGGAACCCACTGTCCTGCAAGTGTGGGACACACACAGTTCATGTCACTCGCTGTCGCTCCTTTTCAGGTGGCACCTTCAAAGACCCTGGGAGCAGCAGCACAGCCCTCGGGATGCTCGGTAGGCGCCGGCCCAGGGCAGCTGCTCATGATCCTCCCCGAGGGCTGCATTTGCCTGGATCTGGTTTGATGAGTTTGGTGTCTCACTTTTGCCTGTTCATGCTATCGCTGCCCTGATACCATCAGTTTTCAACTGCACGATAAAAAACGCACGTGTAAGACACAAACCTCCCGGGCGGAGGAATGGCTCCCACGTGGGCCCAGGCCAGCGTTTGGAGAGCAGCAGTGGTGAGGAGAGGGGGAAAGAGAAAGCAGTGCTGCTCACCAAGGGGCGGGTTCCAATAACACTGACGAAGAACTTTTCCTAGAGGACAGTGGCTAAGGGGAACACGTGGCGGCCTAGTGGTGTGGGACCTGGAAATGAAGGTTTTGAGGAGGATGCTTTAGAAATCCAGCCCAAATGGAGATCACCTTACCTGCATGCTGAAACTGAAGGAAGGTAAGCATTCCAGCCTGAGCGCGCCTTCTCAGGGAGACACCTGGGTGGCACACCGGGCCCCTGGCTGTACGCTGCTGACAAAAGTGAGAATGGCTGACTGCCCCTCCCTGAGCTCCTTCCAGGAGGAGGGGGAGTCTGAGACAGTTGAGGAAAATGTCCTCTGGGGAATGGGGTGGGAGAGCGTCTAAGGGAAGAAACAGAAGATGCTCACTGGATGCCATGCTTAGAAACAGGTTTCGTTCAATTGAATAGAATTTGAGTGCATAGTCACTGCATTCTGGACATGACACGTGGTAGAAGGATGAGCCAGCACAGAACTCAGAGCCCAGACACAAGACCAAATAAATTACAAGACAATGTCATGTACACAGCTTCTGAAAATAGGCAGATATGGAAGGAGCTCAGAGGACTGCAAGGTTAGACTTGGGTACCCAGAAAGCTCTCAGCAGGAGGGGCTATTGGAGTTGCTGCCAGAGGAAACCAACAATCCAGGGCCCTAGCTGGCTGGCATCCTCCTCTCCTGTCATGCATCTGTTTTCTCTGTGGCATTATTCACTCTGTCCCTTTTCTTAAAGCTTGTTTTTCATTTCATCCTGGGCAATACATCTCCCTTTCATCTTCTCTGAGTCTTTGGCCTAGAGCAGGGTCTTAAGGTGACCTGTCAATAAAGGTTTTGTGACCCCACTTTAAGCATACAGGTGATAACCTGTGCAGTGTTCTCAGGTTAGGAGGTTGGGTAGAATCAGGCAGTAGTCTCAAGGGTATACCAGATGGTCCAGTTGGAAAGGGCAGCTATTTGTAGGTATAAGCTAGAGTGGGGGCCAGTGGTGGAAGTCTGGAAGCTTGTCTGAGAGAAGAGGCTGCCCAAAGCAGGAGAAGCAGGCTCCACAATCTGAGTAAAGGACACAGTCATAAGAAAGGTTGTATCACAGGGCTGTGGGTGAGGGTCTTGCTATGAGGCCACAGCCATTTAGCTAAGGTTAGAGCCTCCGGTGGCCCTATGCATATCACAGTCTGTCCTCGTTAGTGCGTGCTATCATACCAAAATGCCATAGATTGGGGGGCTTAGACAACAGGAATTTATTTCTCACAGTTCTGGAGGTCGTAAGTCCAAGATCAGGATTCCAGCATGGTTAGATTCTGGTAAAAATTCTTCTTTGCCTTCTCACTGTGCCTCATATGGTGGAGAGGAAGAGATCACAATCTCCCTGGTGTCTATTCCTATAAGGCCACTGATCTCATTATGAGTGCCCCATATTCATGACCTTATGTAAACCTAATCACTTCCCAAATGTCCCATCTCCAAAGCCCATCACCTTGGGGGGTAGGGCTCCAGCATATGGGTTTGGGGGACACAGTTCATTCAGTCTATAGCACAGTCCAAAGTGGTCAGGATGAATGGCTGAAAGTACACGTGTTTTAATCATCAACTTCAGAGATGAGGTGGGACCATGAGCCAGCTGGCCAGGGGCATACCTAGGAAGATGCCTGTGGGGACTGTCTGCAGCATGTCTTTTTAACTGGGGCCAAAAATCGGACTTGTGGTCCTGTAGGCTCAGGAATACTCTCTCATCAGGACCCAGGATTGATCAACACCATGGTGCCAATGGACTGGTTTGTAAGACAAACCACACCTGTCAAGTGGATTGGAAACTCGTATCAGCCTGATCAATGAATTCCCTTCTATGGTGTTTTAGGGGGCAACCAAACTTCGTACTGGTTTGGCCTTCAAGATGGTTATCTTTCTGTCTTGATCCATCAGTAATGATATTCAGGTTCAATTCTAAAATAGGAAAAGTTGGTTTCTAAGTTCCAGAGGAACACTATAAGGGAACTCAACCATTGACTCTCAGCTCTAACATATATACCCATTTATGAACTAGAGGAGTTATGTTTCTGCTATTATAAATTTAAAATCACCATTAAAGATTATGCCTCTAACTAATTGAATTAAATTTAAAGAAAGAAAATGCTCAAATCATAAGTTCTCTGAAAGGTAAAATTTCCTTCAAAATCTGGTAGGAATTTGGAATTCCTGAACAAATTGCAAATTTGATTAAAAGCAAAGGAAACGTAGGGTCGTGTGTGTGTGTGTGTGTGTGTGTGTGTGTGTGTGTGTGTGTTCTTATATCCGGTGGTTCTAGGAGATATTTCTAAGTGGCAAGTTCACAGTACTTGCAGTGGCCACTGGAGCATGCTTATGACAACTCATTTAAACTTGCAGGAACATAAGAGTGAGCATTTTTGAAGTGGAATTTGCTAAGTTTTTTCCCTTCACATTTAGTAACTAAAGGGGTCCTGGACCATTCATTCCCTACATAAAGTTTTGGTGGTAGTTCCAGCCAATGTTGCCAATTTAAAAGATTTGCATAAGCTTAAGATAGAATCTGAATTTTGAGCTACCTATCCTAACTCAATAGCTGAACTTTTTGAGATTCACCTCCCTCAATTCCTTCTAGAAAGGCCGATCCAGCTATAGAAATATTCCCTCTGCCTGGGCAGGCACTGGCTGACTCTGCTCACAGATGCAATTCAGAAGGCAGGGCTGGGTTATTTATCATAAAACACGGAGGTCGCTTCAGGCTGTGTGGCACGAAAAGCTGTCCAACGTGTCCATCATGGTGAACTCTCAGAGGAACTCGGCCAATTCAAGGGAAGAAAAAAACTTTAAGAGAATTTGGGATGTACCCAGACTCCTGCTGTGGATAAACAAGTTAATCAAGTTCCCAGTGGCTTTGATGATCTTTTGCACAATCTGAAACACAGACGCCAGGGTTTGAGGGAGAATCTCCTCACTTCCCCACCCCCACCTTCAGCCCCCTCAGAGGCAGGACGGGCTCTGCAGAGAAGTGGCCTGTGTGCTCGGAGGGTGAATGAGGCCTTCTCACACTTATCCCCGAGGGAGCTTGCGGGTTTAGCAAGCTCTGCGGGTGGATTAGCAAGTGACCGATACTGTAAGTCGGTGACCCAAGATCAGCAAATTAGAGACTTGTACTGCACGTTCCTGTAGATTTGTGACACAAAGAGATAAAAGTGGCATCTGACTTAAAAACCTGGCTCTAAGGGGGCTTGATGTGGCCGGGGTGGTATTTAACTGCTAAAACGGAGACTGAAAAATATCAGAGATTAATTTTTACCTCCTGGCGACGAACTAGATTGCAGGCTCGACTGCATAACTGGTGTTTTGTGTAAAACTTTATGAATGTCACAAATTTCAAGTGAAGAGGTTAAGGCAAGAATTCCTGTCAGCTTTACAAATGGGAAACTAAGATGCGGGTCCGAGGTTACAAAGCTAGAAAGTTTCAAATCCAGTACTTGGCTTCATACTTGATCATTCTCCACTCCTCCAAGCTCAGGTGGGCTGTAGTACAGGTAATTGTGCCCGATCTGATTCCTTCCAGCCCAACCTCTCCTCAAAATATAGTTCATGAGCACATGGTATTATAGAAGTTCCTCTGAATGCTGTAAGGGGGGGCGGGGGCGGGGAAGCAACTAGCACTGAGATTGCTTTGATCTCTGGAGCTTACTGACTTTCAAAGACTTGAGTTATCTTTGTTCATGTTTATTGTGAATACTGATTTACTTGTATTAGTTCCTAATGGCCTATTTGTGCTTTTTTATTTACCAGGTTGTTCCTTTGCTGCTATTTTTCTCCCTTTCGGCTTTCTCTTGAATTGATGGTCTTCTTTAGTTTCTTTTTCCTCCTTCCCACTCATTTGCAATTAATATTTTTATTTCTTCACTGGTTTTGTGGAAAGTTTAAATATACATTCCTCCTTAACAAATTGTAAGGTAAATCAGTGTCTCTGCCCTCGTGAATACGCGAGGACTTTGGGACACACTAACTCCAGGCCTTACGAGCATCTTCCACATAGTGTTATATCGATTTTTAGCAACACCTTATTTCTGTTGCTCCACAATTAGGCCTGGCTATTGCTATGATTGTGTACAGATAATACCCAGTATTAGCTGTTTATTGCTGTATGACAAATGATCCCCAAATGTAGCAACTTAAAATAACAAATAGTCATTATCTCACAGCCTCTGTAGGTCAGGAATCCAGGAGCAGCTTAGCTCACGGTCCTCCAGAAGGCTGCCATCAAGGTGTCAGCTATGGTGGCCATCATTGGAAGCCTCAACAGGAGCATTGCTCTGAGCTCACGCTCCTGGTTTGGCAGGCCTTCAGTTCCTCCTGGGCTGCTGGAGTGAGGGCCTAGTTCCTCCCCACACATACCATGTGGGTTTCTTCGTCAGGCTACTCACAAGTGGCAGCTTGCTTCCCCCAGAATGAGTGATCTGAGAGAGACTGAGAAAGAGAGAGCCAACGTCTTTTTATAACCTAACCTTGGAAGTGACATTTCATTACTGCTACTGCATTATACTTTTTAGAAGCTAAGTCACCAGGTCCAGCCCAGCTCAAAGGAAGGAGATTGCACATGGTCATGAATATCAAGAAGCTGAGATCATTGCGGGGGAGGGGTTCATCCTAAGGGCTTGCTCAATATGTAAATGTAACCACTTGCTCAGCCACTCACCATTACTTCTTAGTGCATCAATTAATCATCCTTCAAGTGAAGGTCCGTGAGTGGAAAATATTCTCCATTTGTCATAATATTTATTTTTGTCCTCACTCTTAAGTGATAATTTATCTTAATTTATTGAAGTTGGCAGTTCTTCCTTAGCCTTTTGAATATCTAATTCCATTATTTTTGGCTTCTATTGTAGCTAAAGAGAAATCTGCTGTCATCCTGTTGTTTGGACTACATTATTACTATTTCTAAGATTTTTTTTCTTTTTGTTATGGGTGCTCAGCAGTTTCACTGTGATTCATTTATGCATAAATTGATTTTTATTTATTTTGTTCAAGATGTTCTGTGAATTTCCAATTAAAATAGAGTTGCCAGATAAAATACAGGAAGCTCAGCTAAATTTGAGTTTCAGGTCAGTATGACCAAAATATTGCATGAGACATGATTCTACTAAAAAATATATATTGCTGTTCTAAAATTCCAATTTAATCAGGAATCTGGTAAATTTTTTTTGTTAAATTTGGCAACCTGAAATTTGAGGATTCTTGTCTTTCATCTAATCTGGAAAATCCTCCATCATAAGCTCTTCAAACATTGCATTTCCTCTAACCTCTCTGTTTCCTCCTTCTGAATTCTCATTTAAATATGTTTGTATTAGTGTTCTAGAGCTGCCAACACAAAAACTGGGTGGCTTAAAACAACAGAAATATCTTCTCACCGTTCTGGAGGCCAGAGCCTGAAGTTGAGATGTCAGCATGGCTGAGCTCTCTCGGAAGCTTCCAGAGAAGAACCTTCCTCACCTCTTCCTAGCTCCTGGTGGCTGTTTCTACTTGTAGCTGCATCACTCCTACCTCTGCCCCTGTATTTGCATGGCCTTCTTCCCTGATTCTCTGTGCCTCTATGTCTCTGTGTCTTCACGTGACCTTCTTATAAGGATACCAGTCATTAGATGAGGGCCCACCTTCATCTACTAGTATATGACCCATCCTTGCTAATTACATTTGCAGAGACCCTATTTCCAATTAAGGTCCCATTCAGAGTCTCCAGATATACATGAACTTGGGGAGAACATTATTCAACCCAGTACAATGTTACACATTTGAATAATTTTTAGTGAAACTTTTTATAAAACTGAAAGACCAAAGGCATATTTAGTCATAAATTAAGGCTAGAGAGCTTAACTGAATCTATTTTTCATACTACCTTTAGTCAAATTATCTCCCATTAGTTATCCCTCTTTATTTCTTTTATCAGTCTGCTCTGTTTTCATTATTCATTAGTCTTCCTACCATTTTCTATTTCTTCTTAAGAAGCACTTTCATAGCCTTAAACACACTAATAGTTTGGTCCTTTTAGAGAATTCTATTATCTCAAGATCTTTGATTGCTATGGACCAACTTATGTTTCAAACTAAACTGAGGGATCTCTGCACCACACCAATACTATAAATGCAGATGGGTCATTTTTCCTTTTCAGAGCCCTGGACAGAGGCACGTTGGTAGGTAGAGTTTTCTGTGATCTCTTCAGTTTCAAGAATCTCAGCTTTATGCAAAGGTCTCAGTTCCAACTCCCTACCAAACCTCAGCTCCTGCCTTCATAGGGTGCTAACAAAGATTCTAGCTGTGAGGCATATTTCTGGGTCTGATGATTCCCTTTTCCCAGCCTTGGTGACTGCAACTATGATTCACACTGTACTAGTATTGCTCTGGGTTTGGTTTCCCTCTGTTTCCAGCATTGAGGGTCTCTCTTGTTTGTTAAATCAATTATGTATTTTTAAATAAACTTGGTCATATTTTATCTAACAGTTTTGGATATTTTTAGATGGGGCATTTCTTTGACTCTGCCAAGGAGCCAATTCTGGAAGGCCAGGCTCTGGGGTTTATTAAAACCAAGATAACTAGCTCTCCCATTATGTTAGCTTACTGTCAGCTTGGGATTCAGTGTCAAACATGCAGCAAGAAGTTCTGTTTTTCATGTGTGATACCTAATTATAGCTTATGGACCAGCTTAGGCTCTTCACGCAGCTTAGTGGATTTTTCAAAATGTGGTTGCAATATTGAAATAATTGCATGTCATTCTGTTTTCATTATTTCCTCTCCCTAGGGATTGCTAGGAAATCCAGGAGGAATGGATCCAACAGACATCAGACAGATGTTTGGCATTTTCTGAATATGGCTGTTTTCACTCAAAGTTTAAGAAACATGGGGAAGAGAAGTGACGACTGTACTGAGAAGTCAAGGAGTCAGATTATGGATGTACCTCTGCCATTAACCAGGTGACCATTTCTATCAGAGTGTCAGGTTGTAGATCCACTTCTACCAGTAAGTAGGTACCATTTCTATCTCACAATTTTTCATCTACAAAATAAGAACATTGGGCAAAATGTCATGTAAGTTCCTTCTAGTGCTTACATAATTTGTAAGGGTTTGGAGTGGGGGTCAGTTGGGGAGCTAGAGTTTCAATGCAGTTTGGAAGCCATGCAGAGGTTCTGGTGGACTTACCTTGCAGAGGAGCAGGAGGGGGCTTGTTCCTGCTCCTGACACGAGGGTGGGAGCACGACCTCTCCCAGGCCTTGGTCTTTGCCTCTCTCATTTATGGCTCACTTGCAGCTCACCTACCCCCTGTCCCTGTGAGGTGCCCCTGCTGTTATGGCTTCTGCCAGCACTTCTCAATCCTGCCCATCTTCTCTCTGGTCATGGAAGAGGACAAGACCTCTTCCACTGGGCTATTTCTGGTGTCTGTACTCTGCACTGGTGGAGATGCCACGAATCCATACAGAGTCCCCCACTTTCCGGCAGAAACTTCCTCCTTCTCCGATTCCCCTTACTTTGATGAAACACCATGCTTCCTGAGAATTACAATTCATGCAACCTTTTCATTTTCCATGTTCTAGCCACTTTTCTTGTGAAATGTCTTATATGCAAATTGTGTGCATTGAATAAATAGTTTTTGAGTTAAGCTAGGCACCAACCTGAACATAGAGCAAAAATACAGAATTACAGAATGAGAAAGCAGACCCCTGAACTTTGAGGTAGAAAAGAGAAGCAGGTAAACAAGATAATTATGACTTATGCTATGTGATAAGTGGTCTGGAAGGAAAATAGGGGGCCGAGAGAGTGAATGACAGGGTGGAAGAACTGGGTCAGCTTACTCAGGGGGCCTCTGAGAACGCTGAGGGCTAAGGAGGAGCCAGTGAAGCTAAGAACCAGGGAGTTCCAGCAACAAGTGCAGACTAGGGAGGGAGAGTCTGGGGTCGTGGGACCTGTGAGAAGCCTGGGGTAGAGTGGCCAAGGGGAGTCCATGCTGGTCTCCTAGTTTGGCTTAGTCAATCTGGTTTAGTCTCTGATCAAAACCTGTCTAGGATCCTCCAGCTCATGCCTCAAGCTTTCTCAATTCCAGTTCCTCTTCCATAGCTCTGCCATTTTATTTTCCTTAAACACTACTTTTTAATGTTACTTTTCTCTTGAAGGTATTTTTCATTTCTTACTGAGATATACTTAACATATAACATTATGTTAGTTTCAGGTGTACAATATAATGATTTGATATTTGTACATGTTGCACAATGATCACCACAATAAGTCCAGTTAATATCTGTTACTGTACATTACAAAAAAATTTTTGTTACTCCCTGTCTTAGTTTGCCTCTCCAATTAAATTTGAAGAACCTACAGAGTCGTCACCAAATCTCAAACTTTCTCTCAACTCCTAACATATCTATTCCAATGCCAGACAGTTCATCATTCAAAACATACCTTTTTCGTGGTATTTGAAGGGTTCAGGGGGAGGGAGAAAAACAACATACCTTTTTTAACAAAATGTAGTACATTCATGTAGTGGAATATTATTTAGCAATAAGCAGGAATGCTACATGCTATAACGTGAATGAACCTCAAAACCATTATGCTAAGTGAAAGAAGACAAAAACTACAGATTATATGATTCTATTCACTTTAAATGTCCAGAAAAGATAAATCTATAGAGTTTGGAAACAGAAACTGGAATGTGATGATAATTGCCCAGTTTCATAAATGTACTAAATTCCATTGACTTGTATTCTTGTGAATATATAAATATATACAAATATTTTATGATATGTAAATTATACACCAATAAGGCAGCACACACACACATTCTCTGACTTACAAACTGAAATGAGCAATAGTTGACTGAGTCTGAGGGAAAAGTAATAGTAAGGTTTTGCCATCAGCTTTGCAAAGGGAGAGAGCATTCTATTCTAACTGATGTGCAGGCGGGGCTGTTGGTGGAGAAAAATCCCTCAAGGGGAATAGAGCAATTGATCCATTATAGGGAATTAAAATGCCCCTTAGGAATGTTAAAGACCATATGCCTTGATCTCATAATCACCCAACAAGCTTCAATCTGTAACTTAATGTTTGAATGACATCTAACCAGGGGGCTGACTCAGTTTTCAGGCAAATTCTATGAACCACAATAGGTAAATTCATCCTCAGCCTGACATAATTTTCTTGTGAATTTGGATTTATGGAACGAATTTTCTTAAGTTTGTACATTCCTGGATTTGGGGTTTGAAATTTTAACCCCCTAGTTAAAATTACCAGCTGTTCCTTGGGCACAGATACCTTTGTCCCCAAAGTGCATCACTTACCAGTTTTAGTCTTCAGTTCCCACCCTGCTCTGCTCTGCCTCTGTTTATCTGGGAGCAGAGCCCCCAGGAAGAAGTATCCCAAGATCTTTCTTCTGGGCTCCTGGTCTGAGATTTGAGTCAAGTCCCAAGAATGAACTAGACCCCTGGATCACCCAAACCCATGCAAGGTCCTCAATTAAGCATGAAGGAAAGCAGCTCAAGACAGGAACCTGCTCTCCAAGAGGTTTTCGGAACACAGTGCATTTCAAGAGAATAGTGTGAACCACTCAAGGATTTCAACTCTACCTTCCCTGCAGGATCTTAGCAGGATAATTCAATGCAGGGACAACCAGGGCCCTGCCACCTTGCTGTGGACTGAACCACAGTCACCTCCTGGGAGCTAATTAGATTCTGCTTCCTCCACGGTTTGGTGTTACCTATGGGGAGTGAACAGGTCACTGGAGTTGGTGCCATTCGGCCCATCACCAGTGCCATGGTTTGGCCATTAGTAGGGTTGGCTGAATGACATGAAGGGAAGAAAGGTAGAGTCAGGTGGCTGAGGACCCCTGCGACTGCGTTCTGCTGGGTCACCTGCAGACCTGCCACTTGGGGACACTTGTTGAGGAAAGGAAGGATGAAGTTGGAAGGCCATAAGGTGCCCAGGTCACATCTGGCAGACAGTGCCACCTAGGTAAACTAGCCAGCCACCATAGTGTGGCAAAGCTGGGTGTGACACAAGCCAGTACCTAGAGCCTGAGTACAACCCATACAGGGAGAAGTGTCTTTGCTGCTTTATTCACACCCAAAGGACAGTCTATGTAATCACTCTAGGGCCCAGCCGGCTTGGCTCAGTGGTTGAGCATGACCTATGAACCCAGAGGTCATGGTTCGATTCCCAGTCAGGGCACATGACCAGATTTGCGGGCCTAAACGCCAGTATGGGGTATGCAGGAGGCAGCCGATCAATGACTCTCTCTCGTCATTGATGTTTCCATCTCTCGCTCTCCCTTCCTCGTTGAAATCAATAAAATAAATATATATATACATACATATACATATGTATATGTATATGTATATGTATGTATATACATATATTTTTTTAAAGAATCACTTCAGGGACCTTCTATACCGACATATTTGTGATATGCTGCCCCAAAGCCAATTAGCATAATGAATCAGGTGGAAAGGCAAGATGAGGTCAAATGTGTATATGTTTGTCAGAAAAAAGCACATGTGTCAGACAGCAACATGGTCTTTATCTTTCAATTCTATTCAGATCTTGGGGAGGTAAAAAGCCAGCTATAGAAATTTTAAAATATCTGGATTTGTGCATTAGAAAGGTAAAAATATAAAACCTTTGAAATGTGATTTTTATCCAACAACCTATTACAATAATTATCAAATGTAAAACCAAGTGTGTGTGTTTTTAATTTTTATTTGCAAAATACAAGCAAACATCAGGATATGAAGAAAGAATTTCATCAGAATGCTTTTTATTCTTCCACCCCAAAGTGCATGACTTTTGCCCCAGGCCTCCCTCCGTCTATTGGGCTACTTCATCCTGGGAAACGAATTAGGCCATCAGGGCCTCTCCGGGGATATTTGAAATGTCTGCCCCTTCCCGGGGCTTATAAATCATTCATCTTAACCTAAGCCTGAGTGGACTTGTCTACCCTCCCCCTCTGTGCTTGAGATTGAAACGGCCCCCTCTTTCAAGCCCCGTCATTCAGGCCCACAGAAGTTCAGGCTAAAGATTCATTCTGAAACAGAGATATTTATCTTTCTGTACACAACCTACCCATTGTTGTTGAGATGTTGAGCCAACGAAATGATCCTGTTAGACATGAGTAGAGCAAGGAGGACGGGCCAGGTACAGAAGCTCACCAGGCCAGAAAGCTCCAGAGGTGTAGCAAGGAGCAAAACTGGGAAAATAAGAACCTTGCCCCTGGGGAACCTTTCCTCCCCTAACATATCACTGGTCATGTGGTTTGGACCCCTGATCTTTCATATCATTGGTCAGGTAGTTTAGACCTCTGGCCCTTTCTCCCTAAAGATAACATCTGGCCTCAGTTATATTTCAGCTCCAGTCCCAGGAAAGCAGCAAAACCAGACAAGAGGCGCCATGGCTGCCTCAGGACCAGCTATAGTGACAAATGACCCCCCGCCCTGGCTCTGACCAATCAGTGGAGACCACAATCTTGAAAGAGCACACCTGGAAAGATGATGAATGTCCTACTGAGACCCTCCCGTGAGACCTCCCCTAAGATTTCCACCTGCAAGAGATAAATACCCTCAGGACAAAGGACCCAGTGTGCACTCTCCCTCCAAGGAGCAGACACGGCCATTCCCCCACAGGCCCGTAACCCCTAACCTCTAAGGGAACCCATGAGACTTGCAACCAGGGGAACAATGGGCGGTGGCTAACTCCCTGAACCTGTCTCCAAGGCCCCCTTTCCGCTGACTTCTCAGTGAGCCAAGCAGCCCAGCCTGGGCTCTCCTGCTGCTTCTTCTATGCCCTTCCTAAGTACATTTTTGCTGCCATCGTGGACCCAGTACCCTTTGGCTCAGTGCTGTGTAGCCCTTCTCTTTGGATATCCCCAACCTTCCAACCCCTTTTCCTTAAATAGATTCTATTTTTCTTTAATCACCATCTGAAATGGCTGTTTAGCCTGCCTGCGCATTACCAACTTTAACCTTTCAGATCCTTAGTACAAACCTAAGATTTCTTCTTCAGTTTTTGTTGTTAAAATGCTTATTTTATTGATTTTAGGATGCTTTAAAGGGAGTGTGTAGGAACTCCATTTGGAATGCACAAGTAGGGAGCTGGGGTCTCTGGGCACAGACACGTTTGTAGAAGAAAAGACCATCGCAGTCCCAGACTGAGTCCCCAGCAGGCTCTTGCTATTCCCCAGCTATTCAAGGAAGCTCTTCCCGTTGTTGGACTGTGGGCCCCAGTGTCTCCCCATTTTTCCGCTCCAGTGTCCCAGGCAGCTTTCAAGTCCTAACGCACTCGCTCAGCTGGTCTGCTGAGCCATAACAGTCTCCCAAGATGTTCCTCAGTATTAGGCCAGGGGCCGTCTATTTGCTCACCTCTCTTCAGACCCCCACGCAGAGCTCTGTTGCAGCTGCTCCCAGAGGCGCTGGACCCTGACCCCTTGGGATTCATATGGGATCTCATGGGACTTGCATTCCTCACTTTACTTGGGGAGATCTGCTTTCGGGGCGTCTGCCAGTTAGTGAAGGCACCGGGGGTTTGCCACCCTGAAGCTACTTTTTGAGATATTGATTTTAAGCTGTTTATTAGGAAACAAGACTAAGAAAGAACCTTTGACTCTTCCCCCTTTTTCCTGCCCAAGGGATTCAGACAGAAAAACCCGCCCCAGGAAGATCTGAAGATGCTGCCTTATCCTGGTTTGAATTCACTGTGGCAAAAGGAGGGCTTCAGGCAGGTGCCTGTCAGCTAGACCCCCCTGTGTCCCATTGTCTCTGAGTCACGAGGGGGATTTTCCTGCCAGGTATGTTCTGCTCCTCCTTGGCTACCTATAAATTGTCCATTTTCACTTCTGAAGTCTAATACCTCGTCCCTGCCCCTTTTCTCCTGTGCCCCCAAATGTCTTACATTCCGATGTTGCCTCGCTGTCTTTGGAATATTTATGCTTATGCAAATTCCCCGTGCCCACATATTCAAATTTTGATTTTCTCCTGTTAATCTGTCTCATGTTAATTGGATTATTAGCCCAGCCAGAAGAACTTAGAAGGCGGGAGGAAAAAATATTAATATTATTTAGCCCCCACACGAGATAACCCATGAAAAGCAAAGACAACTATGTCTTTGTATCCCATTCAAAAATATTATGAATTAGATATCTTACATATTTTTGGTACTAAGTCTTTCAAACCTGGCATCAACTTTATACTCAGGGAACCACTGAAGTCACGTCAGCCACATGTCAAGTGTTCAGCTGTCACTTGGGGCTCAGGACAGGGCAGAGCTGATGACTCAGAGGAAAAGACCTCTGGAATTAGCTCCTGGGAGGGAGAGGACAGGGGGCTTCGTGACCTTTAAAGTGACCTTTTAATGAAGTGAAACAGGCTTCCAAGGCTTTTCGTGTCCCTGGGCCCCTTTCCCACTAATCCTCTTCAACTACACTGGTTCCCTCCATGAGCTGAGAGTGAAAAAATGTTTACCCTGCTACTTGCCTCAAAGGAATCTTGAAAAGATTTTAAAAAAACAAACAAACTTGGTCCAGCATAACTGGGCCCGTCCACCCAGCCTAGGCGGTCAAGATGAAAAACGGGCCGTGGTCATTATCTGCTGTTGCCTGTGAAATAACGCGCCACTGAGTTCAGCAGCTGCCGTGTTTGCTTTGGAGGTTTCGGCTGAACACACACACCTGAGAAAGAAGCGTGCGGAACTTTGCTTATCTCCACAACACACCGGATAGTCTGCGGGGAGAAGCTCCCCCTCCCCAGACCCAGGAAAGTCAATTATTAATCACCTTTGAAATGTGAAAACCAATGTGAGGAACAATGGTATGTTTTAATGGGCAAAAAATAACTTGCATTGAGGCTGCAGGCCAAAAAAAAAAGAAAGCAAATAGAAAGGACTGCTCCTTTTATCCATCGAAAAAACACCTCATATCAGTTCTCGGAGGAGGATTATAATCGCAGGCACTGAGCAGAGAAGCTTTGGGAAGGCTGGATTCCAGAGGAGCTCATCAGGGTTTTGAAAGGAAGCATTTCACCCTCACAGAGCCCCCCCTCTCTCCTCTGCACAATGGGAGAACTTCACACACACACACACACACACACACACACACACACACACACACACAGCCCCTCTGCTCCGGGCTGTATCTGCAGAGAGGCCTGAGCAAGAACCAGAGGTTGGGGTGGGCTGCAGGTGGGAGGGGGCACTGACTAACAGACTAGGATTCGCTGTAGGTTAACTCACCTTGTGCCACAAATGAGAGAGGCCAGGACAAGGCCTGGGAGAGGTCATGCATAGCCCTGTTGTCAGGAACAGGGACAAGCCCATCTTCCTGCAGCTCAGCAACTTAAGCCCATGAGAGCCTCTGTGTGGCTCCCGGACTGCATAGATTCTGGAACCCCAACTTCTCCTACCCCAAACCTTTACACGCTGTGTAAGAGCTGGGAGTTTAGGAGGCATTTTGTCCAATGTTCCTTTTGTAGATGAAAACTTGTGAGATAGAAATGGTGCCCACTTAGGGCAGAGGCGGGTCTACAACCTGACAGAGTAGCTGCTTGAGACGGTCTTTCCCTGCAGCCACTGAAAGGCATCTCTGGGAGAGGACTGCGCGTCCCAGCAGGTGGCAGCTCACCTGAAGGAGCCATTCCACCGCTGTCCCCTGTAGGGTTTTCTCTCTTCAATCCAGCAGGTGCAGACCAGTCATCCTCATGCTGGAAAGATGAAACATTCAAGCTACCACTGAAATTTTCTGCTGCGAAGAATTGTCAACCCCCAGATTGTTGGAATTAATGAAGAAGGATCTCTAAGACCCTGTGGTTCCGGCTGCGAAAACGCTTGCTCTTTCATATTTCAGACGAAGATTCTCTCGGCCGTGCAGTTTGGGCAGATGATGCTACCTTCTGCCTGGCGTAGCCAGTGCTCATGAACAAGAGCACTGCAGTGGGCCCGTCCTGTGGCCGTAGGCTCTGCTGTGATCTGAGGTGAAGGAAGAGACCCACCCAGCTGTGGGATGTGGTCTGAGCCTCTGATGGCCCCGTGCATGTGTGTCCCGAGGCGGCCATAACAGATGACTGCAACCTGGGTGTCATGAAGCTACTGAAATGATGCTCTCGCCGTTCTGGAGGCACGGTGTCCACAAAGTGTCGGCAGGCTCGGTTCCTTCCAGAAGCTCTGAGGAAGAGTCCATTCCAGGCCTCTTCCAGCTTCTGGTGATAGCGGCAGTCCATGGGATCCCATGGCTTGTAGACATGTCACTCCAATCTCTCTCCATGGTCATATGGTGTTCTCTTTGTGTGTCTCTGTGTCTTCACATGGTCTTCCTTTAAGGACACTGGTCATCCCACCCTAAATCCAGGATGACCTCATCCTAACTAATTATACCTACAAAGACCTAGTTTCCAAATAAGGTCACATTCTCAGGGCCCAGGTGGACAGGTATGTTTCTAGGGGTGGGGGGAGGAGGGGAAGGGTACTCTTTAGCCCAATCCATCATGATCCTTCTATTCGGAGGTGGAATTTTCTCCAACTACTAATTGCTGTTTTTATCACTGCAAGTGTTGGCACCTTGACAAGGAAACTGTTTTGATAAACTCCTCCCTGCATTTAAAAGGCATTGCCTGTGGCTCAGAGAGAACCCAGGAGAGACTTCGAAGCAAGCTGTTGTGTGAGGTGCCTGCAGTGCAGGACGGAGCCTTGAGTGTAAGAGCCTGGGAGACCAGGAGTGAAGAGAGAGCTGGCCTCTGCCTGTTCTGTGTGGGAAGAAGAGCAGGAGGAGGAGGAGCACAAAGAGGAGGAGGAAGAGAGGAGCAAGCTGGGGCAGTGAGGAACCAGGTGGGCCTGAGCGTAGAGGTCCTTGGGGATGTGAAGAGACAGAGACACCCAGAGACTCTCAGAGACAAGGCCATAACCCATCAAGGGCATGGAGCCCACAGTGACCTTTCAAGGAGGGTTGGCTCTGCTATGCAGGGCTTTCATTTCGCTGAGAGGATGCCCAGGTTTGGGTGGAGAGAGGAACCCCTCAGGACAGCAGTAGACTCCATGCCACCGACTCTCCCCTTTCCCCACCTCCCCCTCTCCACCAGGCGACACGTCTCACTTCCTCCTCCCTTCACCTCAGTCTGCAGAGTGTCAGATGGCAGTCATTCTGGGCCACCAGTGCTTCTTGTTTCAGCTTTGCAGCTGCATGAAGCTTCAGTAAATGGTCACTTACATATATTATAAGGCTGAAGGGGTGGGAGGGGTCTTGGTCCACTCCCTTTAGGGGGCATTTTGGTACAGATCATAGAGCTCACTTTTGGACAAGGCTTTGTTACACCAAACTCCTGTCCTTGGCACATTCCGGTGAGTTCTGTGCCCCTGCCTGCTGGCCTGCACCCCACTTTCCGTGGAAAGCCCCTTCTTAGAAACTGTCACATCAGAAGTCTCGGAGGAAGGAAGTCGCTCAGGCCCATCAGAACATGGTCGACTGAGGTCTCATTTCCTTTTCATTTTCTTTCTAGTGCTCGTTTCAAAATTATATCTCTTCTTTGGAGCACAACTTCTTTTTTTAACCCTCAGGCTAACGTGGAAAGAATTTGTTTAGTTTGCAGTGGTACTGTGGCATAAACCATTGGCGGGTGATTCATGCGCCCGGGGCTGCTGACTTGCACTGGGGAGGGGCAGGGATGGCAGCTGTAAGTTCTAATTATGATGAAATAAGTTGGAGGCTGATACATCAGAATATAATCTCTCCAAATCAGTCTTTCATTTAGAAGTGAGCTTTTCTATCACGCTATATTTTATGTTTGTTGACAGAAGAAGGAGATAGAAAAACTGGAAAGCCCGTGGGGGTAGAGGATTAAATTGCAGGTAGAGCTCCATGGAAGGAGACACTAACCCTGACACTCTCAAGGATGCTGGGGAGGCTCTGACCCGGCCAAAGGGCATACAGCCCACGGCCCATGGTGAGGTACTGAATGAATGACTCATGTATTGCCGGCAGCGTCTAAGCTTAAGGTGATCCGCCATGGTTTGGGGACATCTTAATATGGGGAACTGGGCTGTGAGAAATTCCATGAAATCTTGGCTCACTGTTCTTTGTGTGTCAAAGTTCAGTGTTGAACAGACCTTATTTGCACTTCTAAAAGGAGGCAGGTTGAGACAATGGAAAAAGACCTGAAGCAATAAGAATCAGAGCCCTAGGATTTCTCCAGCCACTAACTGCCACCTTGCACGAGTGGCTTAGCTGGGCTGCCCCAGCCTTCTGTGAGGCATGTCAAGGTCTTTGCACAGTGCCTGGTACGTGGAACATGTCTGATAAGCACTGTGGGGGCTAAAAAAATAATGACTTCCCTCCCATCTTCTAAGCTCTTCTTGCTGAGTTAATAATCAAATTAACAGAGAGATTCATAGGAGGAAATCCAAATTTTCATAGGTGAACACGGGGACTTCGCATAAGCATGAAAGTTCCAAATACAGTGTGGCAGAATTGGATATGTATGTTGTTTTGGACAAAGGAGAAATAGGAAGTAGGGATCTGAGATTTCAGAGGAAGTAGGTGATTTACAGTGACGGTAGGCGATTTGAGCAAGAGCACACGTGTTCACGATTTGAACACACGTGGCAGGTAAATTTTTTGCTCGGCAACCCAGAAGCAATGAGACCCAGAGGGCAATCAAATTAACGGCCCGCGCCCAAGGCCCTCCCTTCCACCAAACTCAATTTAACTTAGGCTGCTGGGTGCGCATCCTTAGATTTCCTTCCCGGAGTAGGTTTTCCCTCTGAACCTCTTAGCAGGAAGGAAGAGTCAAAGGC